CAGTTGCATGATATGGTGCATTCTTTGTTGAGGCTCATACTAAAACCATTGTTTTTTTCTCTGTCCATGGCGTCTTAATATGCATGGTGTGGCTCTCTGGACTGGGCCAAGTTTCCCTCAGGCTTGACTTTGGACTGCCTATGGCAAGGCAGTCCTGACGTGTAGTCCCAGGGGTACCTGATCAGGCCTCAGTTTCAGCTGCTTCAGAAGCTGCCTGTCCCAAGGGCCGGCACTGCTCACCCTGTGCATCTCCTCAGTCCCAGTTGTTCTCCACTAACTGCCTCTCTATTTGAACTTTGGTCTCTTCTCTGTGTCCTTTTTTTTTTCCTCAACTTTGATGATGTGGTACTAAGATTTGCTGGGTTTTGAGCTTGCCTTTTGTCGGTTTAATTTCTTGTGACTGTGGCTGAAACTTTTGAAATCAGACATATTAGAAAACTTATGAAACTTTGAACCCTTCTCTGTAACAAAACATAAAGGAGTTTAAAAAATGCAATGTAGCTAATGAAAATTTTTGAAATTTGCGTTTCAATTCCCAACGATTGTAAGCCTTCCCCTATAACATTAATTTCCTTTTTAGATGCTATTTTGTTTTATTTATTTGTTACTATTTAAACTTTGAAGGGAGGTGTTTTCTTTTTCCTTTTTTCCTTTTGTTTTTTGAAATAGAGTCTCACTCTATCTCCATGGATAGAGTGTAGTGGCATTATTATAGCTCACTGCAACCTCAAACTCCTGACCTCCAGTGATCCTCCCACCTCGGCCTCTCAGAGAGCTCGGATTACAAGTGTGAGCCACTGTGCCCGGCCAAGGGAGGTGTTTTCTTTTGCCTTTATTTATGTTTAGCTATGAATCTCTTTTTACATCAATGTGTTGTTTTATCATCTCATCATAGATTTCTTCATAGAATTAATGTTCTTTTTGAGAGACATTGATTGTAGGTAATTTTCCTCTGTTTTCTGAATGTATGTATTATCTCTGAATAAATCATCTGTATTTATAAATTACAGATTTATAAATTACAGATTTATTTATTTATTTATAAATCATCTGTAATTAATCATCTGTAATTTTTGCTTATATTGTTCCTTTCTTTAACTTTTTTGTTTAGGATTTTTGCTTTTTGCCATGCTTTTTTTTTTTTAAATCTCATACATATTTACCAATAGCAATCCACTACATCTTTTCTCCAGGATTTGTTTAAATAAGAAAATAAGAGGTTTTTAATCTATTACTTATATAAAATTTCAAATATTTTTATAAGCTAACATGCAAATTTATGCTTGCGTTTTGTAAAATAAAATAAACATTTCAAAGATTAAATAACAGATTCAAAATAAGTGAAGTGTATGTATTTATTAACTTTAACATTATTTTTCTCCAACTTCATCTAACTTCCTAGATCTTTTGCACAGAATTCTCTACCAGTATAGTACATAATGGCCCTGGGCAGTAATGACTCAAAAATCGTACCACATTCACTATAATATCTGGTGACTATTGTGGCAGCTAAAAGATTGGGCATGTTACTGTCCTTTGTGATGACTTTTCAGTCTCTTTAGACTGTTTTCTAAAGAGACTAAATATCTGTTCTTGAAGTCATTGGATTTGCCCTCAACTTTAAAATATCACTGCAAACATATTGTTTAGATTTTTTGTAAAAAGCTGTAATTGCATGAGTAAATTAGAGTAAATTAACACTGGTGTATTTGAGGGAATGAGGGATCATTATTAAAACAATATGCATATATTTTAATGAGTTTTATATGTATATAAGTTTGTTTATTTGTGTGTGTATATATATATATACACACACACACACACATAAGGGCAGGAACTCTGATTTTGCTACCATTGATTTCTCAGTGCAAACACATGCTTGGCACATAGTTGGTTAAGATAAATATTTATTAAATGTTCACTCTCTTTGTCTCTATCTTCTCTTCCTTTCTCTCTCCTCT